AAAAAAAAAAAAAAAAAAAAACCCAACAAAAACTGGCCTTGCAAGGTAGGCCACTGATTGCTTTGTTGGTGTGTGGGGAGAAAACGGGCTCCTTTAGGATCCAAGGTGCAAAAAAAACAACAAACCACTGGTTACGTCAGCCGTTCGTGACTTTTGCATAGCTATTAAGACTGAATCAACCACAGTTAACAAATTTATACCCCCAAATTGGATAGTTGATTAAGTACAAATTCATGACACACATCCCTAAAAAACCAAAAAACAAAACATATCCCTTAGCTTATGACTCCTATCTGGGCCTCAGTTTCCCTAGTCTTTAAGATGGGTCCAATCTCACGCCAACAAATCTGACTATACATATATTTATATACTGTACATAAAAGTCTAAAATCTGTTCAGTCCCCAAAGCTGAATCTGGACTTCCCAAACAGGAATTTAATACAGACGGAGGAAATTGAGAGGGTTACAATCGTTCCCGGCTTCAGGGATGACCCGAAAATGGGGATTTTTCAGAGAAAAAAAACCACCCAGTCCAGAGAGAGAGGGGGGACCATGGGGGGGTCAGACAAAAAAAGGAAGACTTGTAGGTTTTAAAGACCCCGTAAAAAAAGTAAGAAAAGATAGAAAAATTGGAGAATCCAGCCCCAAATTGTAAGGACCACCACAAGGTGTGTGGAAAAACGGTTGCGTTACAAGGAAGACACTTCATCGAGGTTGCGTGAAAATGGAGGCAGAGGAAGACAGATAGTCCTCAGTTTACGACCAATCGCTTAGCGTCCCAAGTTATGACGTAAGCATCTCCAAAAAGGTCCAGTTTCAAGGTTATGACAAGGGACCGTCCTTAAACGCCTTTGCAGCCTCCTGATCGCCATTTATGACGTTGTACCCGGACCGCCGTGAAAAAAATGTCATAAACTCAGCTCGGCTATGGAAGGGAATCTTTGACATTCAGCCCAGTTCTGTTACGGTCCTAAGGCGAGGACTATATGTAATGCACACACACAGCCAGGATTGTCCGGTGCAACAGAGTCCGGATTTTGCCCGGGGATGGAGACTGGGTCCGTTACAGGCGTAGCTCTCCTGCGGCGATCTTCTTCCAGACGTCCGGCGTGAGAGGCGCGTAGGTCCTCGCGGCAACGTCCAGCACGAACAGGGGGTCCGAGACCCGGGTGGGGTCAAACCCTTCCTCCACCAGGCGGAACCGTTTCTGCTTGAAGGTCTCCGTCATCTCCAGCTGCTCCTGAGCGGAAGGAAAGTCAGACCGTCGTGAACGGGCGGCCAGATCTGGGCCTCCAGATGCCGCCCTGGCCTCCCTCGCAGGGCCGTTGTGAAACCAGAAGGCAAAACCAAGCTGGAGGCTTACCTGGATTCGCAGGAAGCGAGGCCAGGCGTATGGAGGGAGCAGCTCGGCCACCTGTTTGTAGATTTGGGGGCCACTGAAGTCGGCCTCCGGCTGCAGCACCAAGGTGGCCATCCCTGCCCGGCCGTCGTGTCCTGGAAGAGAATGCAGACAGTCCTCAACTTACGACAATTCGTTTAGCGACCGTTTGAAGTTACAACAGCACTGAAAAACGTGACTTTGGACCGTTTTCCATACTTACCGACCGTCACAGCATCCCCAGAGCAAAGCCAAGAAAATCAGTAATTCAATGAAATGCATCTTTATGAAATAAACGTTCCATTTTCCACAAAGGATGCAGAATAACAGAGTGGGAAGGGACCTTAGAGGTCTTCTAGTCCAGCCCCCTGCTCAAACGAAAGACCCCATATATCATATCGCCTATACAATTGTCTAGAACCTCTTTGTTACATGCAAAGGAACGTATAGCCGTTCTACTAATAAACAACGGCAATAAATAAGTAACAGCAAGCAATGTTGGTTTTATTTTGTGTATTCAATTTATAGGCCGCCAATTTCAATCCGAAGGGAACTCTGGGATCATAACAGTTGCCAGCTGCTGTCATTCCAGCATTTTTCCCTCCAAGAAATTGAGTTGGCAGGACTGGACAAGGAGGAAGAAATCTGGATCAGAACTCGGGAGATATCTAATTTTTTTCCTGATTTTCCTAGCGCTTACCTGGGACGATCACACCGTAAACCGTGACCTCCCTCAAACTGTCCAACTTGCTCAAAGTCTCCCCGACTTCTGTCGCGGCCACATTTTCGCCTTTCCAACTATGGGGGGGGGGGGGAAACAAAGGGAAGTCAGAGAGGGAAGATTTGCAAATTAAAGAAAAAAAAGGTCTTGGCTAGGAGATCAGGAATGACTGAACTGGTTGTTAGGTGGGGGGTTTTTGGGGTTTTTTTGCACTTGCATTTGTGGTGTTGAGTGGCCGATTGATTTAAGTAAAAAAAGAAGGAGAGTTTGGGGCTTTGGGCTCATTTTTTTAAATTTGAAGCGAAGAAAAGTCTCTTTCGGGGCTTTTTTTTTTTAATTGAACTGCATCAAATCCCCAGGAAAGTTTTCTTTAGGGAAGGGCGCCCTCGTGTGGCCAGTGGGGAATATAACACAAGGCAGGAATTGGAGGGGAAAAAAAAACCCGGATTTTTTTTCTCAAAAAAACCAACCCTATCTTGCACTCTCCTATGCTCTAGAGATGGCAAAGCCCATCATCCCTGCTCAGCAAGGGAGTGGAGCATGGGAAAGCTGAGCCACGTTTTGGAAAAGAAGCCTACCGGTAGGTGTCTCCCGTACGGTCCCAAAAGCTGACGAAGCCTTCGCCGTCTTGCACCATCAAGTCCCCGGAGTTGAAATAAACGTCCCCGTCGGCAAAGACGCCGCGCAGCATCTTCGCCTCGGTCAGTTCGCGCCCACCGGCGTATCCGAGGAAGGGGTTGCGGAAGGTGACGGGCGAGACCAGGAGACCCGGTTCCCCTGCAGAAAGAAGAAAAACGATGATCCAGAGAGTCCTCGGATTAGGACCTTTCTTTCTTTTTTTTTTGTTTCTTTCTTTCTTTCTTTCTTTTTCCTTCCTTTCTCTCCTTTTCTTTTTCTTTCTTTCCTTCCTTCCTTTTTTCTCTCCCTTTTTCTTTTTTTTCCCTTCCTTTTCTCCTTCCTTCTCTCCTTCCTCTCTCCTTCCTTCCTTTTTCTCCTTTTCTTTTCTTCCTTCCTTTTCTCTCCCTTTCTTTCTTTCTTTCTTTCTTTTCTTTCTTTCATTCCTTTTTCTATTTCCTTCCTTTCTCTCTCTCATTCCTTCCTTCCTTCCTTCCTTCCTTCCTTCCTTCCTTCCTTCCTTCCTTCCTTCCTTCCTTCCTTTCTGCCATCTGTCAAAAATTGTATCCTGCCTGAGCAGGGGGTTGGACTAGATGGCCTACAAGGTCCCTTCCAAGTCTGTAATTCTAATTCTAATTAATTCTAATTCTAATTCTAAATTCTAATTATTTATTATTAAATTTACTGGACGCCCATTTTTATCACAGGGTAACTCTGGGTGGCCTTACAATATTAAACAAGTGGTTTAGCAACTGTTCAAAGTTACAACGTCACCTATATCCACCCGCTGGCACCGCCCGGCCTTGTCTCTAAGCGGAGCGCCTTGGACAGCGTCAAAACGAACCAACTCAAAGGGACTGAAGCACTGCAGGGAGGGGAAAAAAATCATGGTACAATTAAAAGCGAGAGATTTTTTTTCCCCAAAGTGCCCCCCTACCTTTCCCAGGAATGTTGTGATGCCCACCTTATAAATCCAGGAGCCGCGCCCCACGGCCCCCACCCTGCCGGTGTAGTTGAACAGGGTGACGTTCCCTTCGGTCATGCCGTAGGTTTCCACCACTTTGATGTTTCCGAAACGGTGGAGAAATTCACGCCAGACGTCCGGACGCATCCCGCTGCCCACGGCCATCCGCAAGGAATGCTCTCGATCAGCCGGGCTCTGCAGGAAAGAAGAAGGAACACAGTGGCACAACAGGAAGGAAGGAAGGAAGGAAGGAAGGAAGGAAGGAAGGAAGGAAGGAAGGAAGGAAGGAAGGAAGAGAAATGGGAAAATGGCAGAAATCCCAGCAGTAATATCAGCGTTGGCCACCAGAGGGAGACATACAGATCCACCTTTTTCCCACACTTACCTGTGGCTGGTTGACCAGGTACCGGCAAAGCTCTCCGATGTATTGGAAGACGGTCACCCCGTGAGCCCGACAGTCCGGCCAAAACTGGCTGGCTGAGAACTTTTTCTTCAGCACACAGGTGCCACCTGGCAAGAAACGGGAAGCCTTTTTCCAAGAAAGCTGAGCAAGGTTTCTAGTCCTCGTGACTTTTAGAAAGTCATTCTTTTTCATTGTTTCCCATCGACCGGCAGGGAGATTCACCTCCTTAAACCGCAATTTTGACTATGGCAAAATGGTATTTCGGATGAAAAGGGAATCCCTTGGCTGGGAAGCAGGTAACACTTAAGCAGAGCCTCCAAAGCCACGAGCAATCTACCTTGAATTCTAGAGGGGAGAAGGAGCAAGGGATGGCAGACGCTTCTCTGCCTTGCCTGGCGGGTCAAAGAGACAGCAAAGCTCCTGCACCTACCGAGGCCGAACGTGCCGAGGATGCCCAAAAGGCTGCCGGACATGTGATACAAGGGCAGGGTCAGGTAAATGACATCCGAGCTGCAGGCCCCCACCAGCTTGTAAAACCCTAAACAGAGGATGGTCTTCAAGTGGCTGACCCGGGCAGCCTTGGGGAGGCCTGGAGAGAAAGGGAGGGAGGAAAGAAGGGAGGGAGGGAGGGAGGGAGGGAGGGAGAAAAAGAAAGAAAGAAAGAAAGAAAAGAAAGCAAGAAAGAAAGAAGAAGAAGGAAGGGAAGGGAAGGGAAGGGAAGGAGAGGGAGGAAGGAAGGAAGGAAGAAAGAAGGGGAGAAAAGAAAAAAAGGAAAGAAAGAGAAGGAAAGAAGAGAAAAAGAAGGAAAGGATGTTATGTTTTTAAAAACACTTGATTGCTACACAGTATTTGTGCTTATGAATTCAACCCACATCTTTGCCCTAAAGTAGCAAAGCAAACCAAGGCAACATAGACACAATTGTTGTTTAAAGATGCAATTTGGGGATGCATCAAACTTGCTGCTGCCTTCCTGACACACAAGGCCTGAACCCCCCCCTCCCGAAGCCCTCCAGAAACCTGCGCCTCCAGCCCCGCCCTCTCTAGCCCCCCACACCTGTTGTCCCGGAAGTGAAGATGTACAGGCAGGTGTCCATCAGGTGGCGCGGCGTGGAGAGCTCGTAAGGCAGGGGCTCCTCGGAGGCTTCCTCCAGCAGATCCTGCAGGCTGATCACGCCCGGTGGATAGGGCCCCTTTCCCATCACCCAGACCCCAATGCCCATCTCCTTCAGGCTGGGGAGGATGGGCTCCACGGCTCCAAACAGTTCTGCAAAGATGCAGGGAGATGGGGGGGGAGTGTTTGTCAAGCTCCTGCGGTGACTTTGCCCCCCCCCTCTCTCTTTGCCCTGAGCCTGGCCTGCTCTGCAGGGTTGGTGTGAGCAGAGGGGAAGAAATGGCAGGAGGGAGAAGACAAAAATGTGGCTCAGCCCCATCATCCCCTGCCTCCCCCCCCCTCCTCTATGTCCACCTGGGGACCCCTGCGGGCCTCCCCCCCCAGCCCCCAGCCTCCCCTCCCGGGATCCCCCCCCCCGCTCACCCTGGGTGGCCAGGAGGGCGCGGGCGCGGCAGGCGCGCAGGCAGTGGCGGAGGGCGTCGGGGCGCAGCGCGGTGCCCAGGAAGGCGGGCCGGGCGCCCAGCTTGGCCAGCCCGATCCAGGCCCAGACGAAG